AACACTAAGTTTTTGTATTTATTTGATTTGAATCACAAAAGCGTGATTATAAACCCAGATCCTATTCATTATTAGGGCTACTCTATTAAGCCTCTCTTTAGCCTGTTAAGAATAAAATGGGGAAAAAAGGACGATTCAGAAAGCTATGTAAAAATTTAGACAGAGAAAAGTTAAGACTGAATTATAACCTGGAAAGAGTCCTATAAACTCAAATTATAGATTACATTATGTAAACATCCAGGTGAATAGAGTGGCCTCCACAGAGAGGCATGTTCTGTGTGTTTTCTTGCCCTGAGAACTATCAATATTCATATATGTTAATTCCTAAAACTGTGGTGTCTCTTGATGGTACTAGGTATTGAAAGATGGGCAAAATTTGGAGAGACAGAGAAGAAATTAGCATTGGTACAACGCAGATTCAGGGGCTTCTTGGGGAGGCCAGTTGGACTGGAAGGGAGAATAGAGGACAGAAAGCTTCAATGTCAAGCCAAGGAGAACAGACTTCATCCCTGGACAATAAGGAGACTCTAAAAGACTTTAATTCTGAGAATTGCACAATGAAGGGCGTTTCCGAAAGTAGAGCCTGGCAGAAGCAGCCAAGCCATCTGGAGGGATCAATGGTTACCCTCAAGGGGAACCTCTTACACACTCTTCGGTAGGGTAAAATATAATCTTCTCCTTTTCAAAGGTGCCTAAGTCCTATGCTTGTGAAAGCTTGGCTTTGGGGCTTACCCAGGACTCAGCAAGCATAAATGACATAAGCTTCTCCAAAAAGCTGGACTGCACAAAGTTCTGCCCAAATCCCAGGAGCTACTGATGCTGGCCCTGTGTTCTCACTTTAGAAGGTCATGCAAAGGACAAAATCTCTAGAATCCTTCATGGGCTGGGTCACAGCTGGGGTGGGAAGTTGTAGCCCCTCTGACACTTCCCACATAGCTGTGCTTCTACGGAGGCCAGGAGCACATCAGGGTGGGTACTGTTCACAGTCCTCCTCCATCCCACCAATCAGGCGCCAAGGGGTCTTCATATCCACAAAATACCATTTTCACAGATCAATAGCACACACACCAAGACATGCAAATTCAAACCAGATACCCAAATGGCACTTATTGACTTTGCAAGGATTTTTACCACTACTCTTTTGGTGGTAGTGCCTAGTGGCAAGAATATAGAAAACCAGGAACTTTTACCACTGATGTGAGAGATCAATTTGTTCAAACTTTCTTGGGGGCAATTTGACAAAATCTATCCTAACATTTCAAAAAGGCATCATTTTTGTGCTAGCTATTTTTTATTAACCGTGTTCTTTATTTTCTCCATTCTGATGCTTTGACGTCCAGGGCTTTGCTCCTAGAGGGACTGCTCCTCCCAGGGTTACCAATTCCTAGAGATATAAGCCACTTGTCTCTTAGTGTGCCTTTCATATACAAACTCACTGATCCAGAGTCCACATCCCAACCACCTCCTTTATGGGGCTCTCCCACTCTGGACTACTAGCCTCACACCCTCATCACCCCAGGGCTAGGTACCAGATGGAACAGCCCCGATGCCGCAGAGCCCACTGAAAATGTTCAACGTAACCAATCCTAAACCTGCTCACCCTGCCTCACCTCTTCTTTCCCATGGAAACCACAGGAACACATATTGCCACATGCCCATCACCACCACCTTCTGACGGACTCCAGCGTTGTCTGTGCAGCCTCCTGCTCCCATGGCATGGAGTTCCCACTTGTCTTGTCTTGGGATCTGTGAGTAACATGTGAATACCAAACTACTCTTTTTCTCTCTTTACTTTTCTTCTCTTTTCTTTTCTTTCCTTTTCTTTTCTTTCCTTTTCTTTTCTTTCTTTTCCTTTTCTTTCCTTTCCTTTCTTTCTTTCTCTCTCACTTTCTTTCTTTCTTTCTTTCTTTCTTTCTTTCTTTCTTTCTTTCTTTCTTTCTTTCTTCCTTCCTTCCTTTCTTTCTTTTTTCCTTTCTTCCTTTCTTCCTTTCTTTCTCTTTCTTTCTTTCTCTCTTCCTTTCTTTCTCTTTCTTTCTTTCTGAATCTCACTCTGTTGCCCAGGCTAGAGTGCAATAGCATGATCTCGGCTCACTGCAACCTCCGTCTCCCAGGTTCAAGGATTCTCCTACCTCAGCCCCGCTAGTAGCTGGGATTATAGACACCCATCATCATACCCAGCTAAATTTTTTTCTATTTTTAGTAGAGACATGGTTTCACCATGTTGGTCAGGCTGGTCTCGAACTCCTGACCTCAAGTGATCTACTCACCTTGGCCTCCCAAATTGCTGGGATTACAGGCATGAGCCACCACGCCCAGTCCAAATTGCTTTTTCAATCGCTGACATCTGATCTGTCGGTCCTGCCATACCTAAATAATGATAAAATCTTTATTTTAAAGCACTATTCTCTAGGAATAATTCTGAATGAGCCCAAAGATATACATATCAGATGGTCACCTCAGTGAAGTTCACAATAGTACAAAATAGGAAATCATTCGAATGGCTAACAATAGTAGATGGTTATATACTTTATTGAGTATTATACTGTGGGATGCAATGTAACTGTCAAAAAGGTAGAAAAGTTGTTTTTAAATGTTTGTGTAAAGGAAAAACAGTTCACCACTTCCTGTGAAGGAAGAGGGATCCAAAATTTTTTATTTCCCTCCTCCAATCATCCGAAAAAACAGTGAAATAAAGTTTTTAAAGCTACAAACCCACATAGACAAACTGCAAAAGAAGAGATGACAGTATTTTGGACACTGGAAGGCCAACAGAATGATGAGAACCAGTTTTAGAACAGAAAAAGGAGACGTTAACTCATGGAGAGAAAGACACCACCATGCACCTATGCCATCAGAATAGAGACAGAAAAGACTCTCTGGGTTTAGGGGTATTGGATACCTGTGAAAGTTGGGGTATAGGTATTCCCTACTTATGCCCATGGGGAGTGCACCTCTCCCCTTTGAGCTCCACCCCAAGGCCAAAGTTTCCTGAAGACTGTCTGCCTCTGCCAGTCCTAGAACTGGGCTCACTCCAGGAACTCTGACCACCTAATTACAACAGAATATCGGAAGGTCCCTGCCAGATGTCAACATAAGGTAATTTCTGTCCAGAGATCTGCGTGTCAAAAGGAAGAAGTTTCCCAAAGCTTAAGTAATGACTGCAGTAATGATGACCCTTGATGAAGTCAATGCCTGGCCACCAAATAAGCTCTCATGATGGTGGACAAGTTTGTCCCT